AAATGCTATTTACGACTTCTTCTTGAAAACCGCTAGCCCAAATGTTTTACTACTTGGTATGTAGGTACCCTGGGTGGACCTCTCTCAGATTTGTATGATGATATCTTTAATTTTGATAAATATTTTTGTCATTTTTGGTAAAAGTGATATTTTCGACTTCTTGTTAAAAACTGCAAGTCCGATTGCATAGATATTACATATGTAAGTACTGCATGTGGACCTCTCAGATTTGTTCATTTCGTGATGATATCTTTTATTCTCTAATTTTGATTAATATTTTTGTCGTTTTTAGTAAAAAGTGATATTTTCGACTTCTTGTTAAAAACCGCAGGTCCAATTGCTTTGATATTACATATCTAGGTACTACATGTGGTCCTCTCTCAGGTTTGTTCATTTCGTGATGATTTTGTTCTACAATTATCTAATTTTAATGAATATTTTTGCTAAAAAGTTATATTTTCAAATTTTTGTTGAAAACAGCAAGTCTTATTGCTTCAATACTATACATATTGTTCATTTTCTGATGATATATTCAGTTCTTGAATTATCTCAGCCGACAGGCTGCTAGTTTAAATTTACCATCGCTAGATGTAATGTGTCCTATATTTTGTTTTTAGGGCCAAATTAATGTTTGCAAAGGTAGTTTTGTAAGAGCATGTGGCTTTATTAGCCATGTATTATAACATTCTCATAATTTTCTAAATTTTTTTATTGTTAAATTTGAAAATTAAAAGTGGTTTTATACAGTATTCCATAAGATATAGACTGTCAGTAATTTGGAATGATCGGTAATACATTGTTAAATTAAATGAAAATAATGTAATTATTTATTCTCAAACTAATTATACTATCTTAAAGGGCAATAGTCGTCGCGATTGTGACTGTTGCGCACACCAATAAGTACAAGCCGACAGGTTACCAAGCTTTAATTTTGTATTTCTTTTGGTGATTTCAAGGAATCGAAGGAGTCGTCGGTGGTAATTAGTGAAAGTGGCCCTACCTCCCTTTAATGAATGTTAATTAGAATAACATAGTAGTATATTTGTAAATATATATAGCATTCTAATTCAAATCAAAACATATTTTGGTACTAGGCAACATCATGCTTATGAATTTATTTATATATTGCACCCCCCCCAGTGTCAAAGACACATCTGTGACGTCAATATGACGTAGTTGGGTGTAATCAATGTTCCAATAGAACACTGTTTTGCAATGTTCCTTACGCCTATTAACGTAAATAATCGCTTTGAAACGGTGTCTTTGTTATGTGCACGTGTTGAAATCTATAAATCACAAATGGTATTCTGCTGTACCGTCTGTGTTTAATTAGTTTGTATGCACACTGTAACCTGATGTGAGCATTTCGAATAATTTCAGGGAAATGTTTCAAGTTTTGGTATCACATGTTTGGAGCAACTATTGGTACTTTGAGGGTTTATTTCGAATCTGCTGTTGATGGCATGACACTATTGTGGACGGCTTCGGGTGACCATGGAGACGTATGGAAGAATGGACATGTGACGGTCAATTCCGCGGTAGAATACTGGGTGAGTTGGCTGCAAAATTCAGTAATGTAATAGATGCATGAATTGTAGCGTCGGACTAGGTGTGCTACTTTTTTATATGTTATTTTGGTGACATGTTTACAAACTGGCACCCCCCCTGTCATTCTAAATAACTTATAGTTTCTAATTGGCATTCGCTGATTATATTTTCCAATGGGTTGTGTGAATCCCTAATTGTCACTTGATAAATCGTGTGATAAATGTGTGATTCCTTTGACATATTTTCTGATGGCGGCGATCAAATAACTGAAATGTCTTACTGATTTTATTATAGTAGTGTAATAATTAACATAATCAGGTGAGATGAACGTGGAAGCTATAATAGGTACTCGATTGATTTTTAGAATAAATTCTCCTGTTTCAGATTATATTCGAGGCAACCAATGGTGGCGTATATGGGGATATTGCAGTTGATGATACTGAGGTAGACGATGGTGATTGCCCTGTGACAACACCTCCACCCACTTCACCCACGCCTATTCCAACATATCGTGAGTTGACTTGGGTTGTGTTATCGAAATTGTATCGTCTAATGGGTGATTGCTGGTGCATGTTGCAATAACGCCATCTTTAAAATCGATCTTTTCTCACACCAACGCATTAGGCAATTATAATATTAATATGTATGTTTGTTCAGTTTATCTGTTACTCAGACAAGACAATTGTCGTTCACAGCACCAGATTATCATGACTGCGATTTTGAAATTAATTATTGTACCTGGACATATGATGAAGATAGTTCTGACTTTGACTGGACCAGGATTACAGCGTTAGATGGTTCGTTAGTTCAGGGACCTCCGTTTGATCACACCACAGGAACTGAAACAGGTGGGTCGTGTTAATATATAGCTGCGTTAAATTATAACCACCCTCAAACCATGTACACAATGATGTACATAATATGGTAACACACAAGTTTTTTTATGACTTTGCAGGTTACTATATTATCATAGAATCCTCCGTCCCACGGACCCCTGGCGAGAAAGCCCGCATAATCAGCGGTTACTTCAATTACCATAGCCCAGAAGGAATATGCATGAAATTCTGGTATCACATGCTTGGTGCTCAGGTTGGCGTCCTAAACATTTATCTGAAAATAGATGGACAGAGCGACGTTCTTTTGTGGATGAAACAAGGGGACCATGGACCAAGATGGGGCTATGACAATATACACATACCAGAAACACGGACGTTCAAGGTAACAGTCTTATACTCGATCATATTGAGTGTATTTTGTCAATGGTATATATTAATACCATTTGTCCATAATTATGTTTATATTTAGATTGTCATAGAAGGAACGGTCCAGGAGCATTGGGATGGTCATATTGCATTAGACGATGTATTTTTCAATATTGGAGAGTGTCCTACCTCTCGTAAGTTAACTCACACATTCGCCATACAGACCTTAAAATTGCACTTTCTCAGAAGAAGTTTTTCCCCCTGTTTCTGGATATTGTGGTTTTTCCGTCACAAACAACAATAGCACGTGACATTAGCACAAATACATTTTTATATGTACTGTATTCACATAAGTTTGTTGCCGCTTGTCTCTTTGTCAGACGGCTGTGATTTCGAGAATAGTATGTGTGGTTTTTCACTCGACCCACTTAATGAGTTCAATTGGTATATAGTTCAAGCAATGGACAGCGAAGAACCATTAGTTGATGTAACATACGGCACATCATATGGTGAGATTCAACAATCGTCTTAATATAATGTTTATGACAATGCTAGACGAAAATATATCTCTGTATACTCGGAACAAAGATTCTAATTGTAACGATGTAGTGTGCAGTGATACCGTATTCATTTATTTGTTTGACTGATTGACATTGCGTACAGGTCATTACATCTATGCTAACAAGACTACATCGAACTTACAAGGATCGATCTCCCGGTTTGTCAGCGGCGTATACGACACCACTGAAAGCAGGTGTTTACGATTTGCATATTACATGTCTACGACGGGTAATAGATTCGAAGGACTGGGCGTGTACGTGAAGGAGTTAAGCAACGACGAGTATTTGTTATGGAGTTCACCATACGAGGGGATTGCGGTATTTCAAATTGCCGAAGTCACTATTAATCATCAAATACCGTTTCAGGTGAATATGTAACTCCCCACCATGAGCGAAAATAATCACTGTTCGTAATGATTGAATACATACTTACATATGTATTCTTTTTTTGAATCATTGCATATCCAATAATTCGACGTTTACAACTAATAAAAGCACTTTAAAGTTTTTAACAATTTACTCAACTTTGCCAATTCTAATTCATCCACACAATTTTGCCAACTCCTTTAACACGATGTTCATATGTTCGACTGAATTTAATGCATACCAATCAAATATTTCGATTGAATATTATTTGTGACTAAACCAAAGTTTCTATCAACAGATAATATTTGAAGCTGTTGCCGGATCTGACAACACTGGCCATCTAGCAATCGACGATATTGATTTTAAAGATGGTGGTTGCGAGCCACTTGGTCACTGCGCATTTGAGCATGGTGACACGTGTACTTGGTCAAATGTACAATACGGCAGTTCAACTATAGATCAGTTTGACTGGATGCTTATGAGTGGTGCCCATATCAAAAGTGAGACGGCTCCGACTGTAGATCACACGATTGGAACAGCCTATGGTAATGCTTGTCCACGGTGATCGATCTAAATAAATATGTATTTACATAGACAATTATTGGATTATTCATGTGTTCTGACTGGTCTTCAATTATGTTGTTGTTTTCATTTAGCGTGTATTTTTATGGTAACACAAATATTTTGCTTTTTAGGAACATACCTGTACTTGTCAACATCCGGACCAAGGGTAGAAGGCGATGTCGCAATACTCATGTCGGTTCACTTTGAAGACGGGGCTGATCAGTGTATGAGGTTTTGGTACTACATGCACGGTAGCGATACAGGCACACTGTCAGTGATTCATTATGATGCGCCTAACGCACTGTTTAGTGTGTCTGGGAGCCAGGGAAGTACGTGGATAGAAGCATATGTAGATGTACCAGCAACATCCACTAATATCGTCACTATCAGAGGAATCGTTGGCAGTGCACCGGGTGACATAGCAATTGATGATATCTCATTTACAGACGGTCTGTGCCCGCGTAAGTTTTTGTTGTCGAGTTCTGGGTTCTGATTTACAAAATAATTTGATAAAATGACCATGTGTTTGAAATCTCACTGTAACAAAATTGCGTATTATTTGCGTCATCAGCACCCCCGCCACCATGTGAATTTGAATGTAACGACGGAACTGGAAACTGTCTGCCTATGAGCAAAGTTTGTGACTTCAACAATGATTGCGACAATCATGAAGACGAGGCAGTATGTGGTATGTCGTTAAACATAGTATCAAAATACGAAAGCGACAACTGTAATAACGGTTACATTGTGTCGTAGTTCATTGCTGTAGTCATTGCAAAGTTTTTTTGACTACTATGCTAATATTCATTTTCGAGTATTGAATGAAATTTTTTCAGTCTATTCAACCTCCAATTATAATATGCAGATAGTTGTATGTTAGTCAAGTTGTATGTGCTTAACGTCAACGTATGTACTTATCGCATGTACATGAAGTTACACGTGTTACACTTACGTGTTCATTTATGTATTTTGCACAAGCATAAAGTAAATAAGGCTTAACTAATGTCGTGATAGTGTTGATACATAAATCACATTTAGTAGCACATATGCTATTGACCTATTGACCACTCTCATTGAAGGCTATCAGTGCACATTTGAGACTGGTGAATGTGGCTGGAATGACACAGCTAAGGGGCAGTATCAGTGGATAAGATGGCGTGGGGCCACGCCAACATCAAACACAGGACCGGCATATGACCACACTACTTACACACAACAAGGTACGTTTAAAACAGGCCCTGCACGTCCCAGTGGCTACCGAGATATAGTTGAAAGCTAAAAAGTCACGAAACATTTATCTTTGTAGTATTGTTCCATTCTCTTCCGACATCGCGTCCACTGTTCGAAATACCATGGTTTAATATTAAGTTATTGGATCAAATGATTAGTTTCCGTAAGATATGTATGATAAGTGTTCCATTGCAAAAGCTATCAAACTCTCAGTGTGTAACATTAAAGTATATATAATTTTACTGTCATTTGGCTCATCATAACTTAGTGTAGTTTGTAATATAGTGTCATTGATATATATTTCAAAATCTATTCTTGAATGTGTTAGGTTGGTATATTTACGTTGATGCCAACGTGTTTGGAAATACTGTTGAATGGGCCCACTATACTAGTCCTACGCTGCAGCAATCCGGTTCCTCTTGCGAACTCTACTTTTGGTATCACATGAAAGGAAAAGGTATAGGTACACTGCGGGTCCATGTGAAGGAGTCCAGCTATGAATCCGAGGTATGGTCCCGTAGCGGTGATCAAGGCGATAATTGGAATGCGGGAGTAGCTATTATTGGTAGGATGCATAATCCGTTCTTTGTAAGTTGTACTTTTTGTCTTCATGTATAAATGTTACTGAATGTCATAGTGACATCTGGTATGCGTTTGTGCTGATATGGAAATTGTAGTATAGAAGCAAGGTGTTGTGGAATATATGTGAGACGTATAACAAGTACTATTCCTACAAATAGCGAAATGGTAGTCAACTTTAAATGTAATTTGATTGCATTTATTTCAGGTTGTGTTTGAAGCTCAGCGAACCTTCAACGTGCTTGGTGATATTGCTGTTGATGACATTATTTTTGAAGGTTGTACTTTGCCAGGTGTGTATCCACAATTCGTATGTCCTGTGTTAGTCGAAATACTGATAAATGAGTAAATGGAGCAAACTTTCTTTATAAAAAGTGAATTATTGACATTTATATTAAAATAAACAATGGAACATATTGGCGTAGGAGGGGAGGGGTATGAACAACTGGTGAACTAAGGCGGACAAGTCACCTTGTTTTGGTCTTCTATTGCAGAGATCGTACCAAGCTGCCAAACAGATCAGTTCAGATGTACAAGGGGTTCCTGCGTGGAAAGTGACAGACTATGCGACTATAATGACGATTGTGGAGACTATTCTGATGAAGCCATAGCGCTATGTGGTAAGTCGTATCAATGTAAAAAAACCGATGTAAGTCGTATCATTTTATAACTATTATGCTGTGGAGGAATATTAATGATTATCACATCTCACTGTTGTTACGCATGCTGTGATTGGTTGAGACTCGGTCACGTGACATTGAATAAAAATGGATATTGCATGGTATATTGCCGCCAAGTGGATATTATATTGGTAAATCACATGGATGACGTCACTGAAACTACTGCGCAACGATACTGCGCATAACAAATTGTCGTTCGCTGCACTGGCGCTGCCCGGCCGCTGTTGTTTTCGAGGTTGCTTTCAAGGTTTTGAAAGGATTTTAGCCATCTGAAATAGACAGTGAACGTACCAGAATGGATATTAAGTAAGATACTCTGTTTTGATGTTTATGGTATTTTTATATGAAGCAAAAATGTACGGCAAAGTCGCCACTGAAACGTCGCAGCAGGTGTCGCTGCGGCGCGTTCAACGCTGTGAGCATTTCTATGCGTTCCACGCCGATGCCAACCGAAAACACTCCAAAGCTGTGTGACTTGTGAATAGATATGGTACGTTCGTGAGAAAGTAATTTCAGTCACTTCCACGGCACTCTGACATTTTTTTATCTGCAGAGTGATCAAATAACTTGCGTATGAGTATTTCTTACATCATTTCAAAATTATTCTCGATAAATTGAGTGATTCACACTGCTTAAACACGGTCACTAAAAAGAGTATGCGTGGCTGAAAATAACATTATTGAGTGTATTTTTTTCAGCAAACAATGTATGTATGTTATTGAGTAATGCGAAACTTGTTATAATAGATAAAATAAAATATTGCATACTTCAAATATATAATATAATAGTGTTGTTATTTTGTGGGAGAGCGGATGTGAGTGATGTATGGTAGCTATGGTGGGTGTCATGGTGGGTGTCTGTTCGATGTGATAAAATAAATAACACATGGTTATTTGGACAATATCACGATTTGTTGTCTGCCCTCGGGCTTTTGGTCATGACCATAATATTGATGATGCC